ATGAGTACCTAAGAGTAGCTTTATACTAACATTTCTTACTAAATAAAACACGGCGAGCAGTTACGCTTGCAAACGAACGCCAGTGTTCAAACCGCTGAAGCAGGTGGCCCGGGAGTCAAAAACACCGAAGCCTGTTTCATCTGTGGTCCGAGGCGAAGATTATCTCGGTTTGGTAAATAACACAACGCGACTTGGTAAATAACTACGACATTCCACCTCTCTAAGCTTTCAAGGACTTGACAGCTCGCACGGGCTGCTTTGTTTCCACAGAATGGCGCACCCAATTTCTCGCGTGCAAAGCCTTTCGAGCCTGGTCATTGTGTCCCTCTATCCGGTAGAAGACTTAAGTGACCTCCTTTTTCCAAAGATCGCTTTATCTCTTTCCTGGCTGCAACAAGAACCCTTTTCGCTCTCTCCAGGCCGGAAACTAGCTCTGCATTTCTTTTTTTACTTTGCGAGGGGTGCTTTTGGTTGAGAAAGCACGCTTCTAAAGGATCTTCCCCGAAATCGGTTCTTGTTTAGCGAAAAGAACCCTTTTTTGCTCATTTGGCTCCTTTTTTTCTGAGAGTGTAGGTGGTAGGCTCTATTCCTGGATTCCATCGGCCTGGAACGCTTAGACGGCTCTCTTCACCAGAAGTATAGTTGCCGGTTCAGGTCATCACTGCGCAGCGGCTCGGTCTCCGAACTCTACAACGATGCGTCTTCAAGTGGTGGTAAATTGATGCTCTTTTGACAAGCCCACAGCGTGTGGTGTACGCGTCGGCCCTCCCCCACCCGCATCGCGGGCACGGTCGGACGACGGGTGGGTCTTCGGGTACCACGTGTGCAGTCTGTCTGGTGTCGGGAGTGTACGCGGAGAGCAAGTCGTCTGCTTGTTTCGCGTGAGTTGCGGTGATATCAGAACAACACCGAGATCTGATTGGGTTTAATAGAGAGGTTAGGGGGTAGACCTCAATGCCAGATGACTCGAGGTCTACCCACTATCTTTTCAATCAGCCAATAAGAGCTCGGCGTCGTTCTGACGTCACCGCTACTCCTGCTCAAGAAGCAGACGACTAGGCCCCTCCCCCCTCCTCCTCCTCCTCCTCCCCCTGGCTACGTGCCTGGTGAGAGGCGTGCAGGGAGGATCCTCGGTGGGGTTGGGTGTACCACAAGCCGAGCGCTTTTCGGTTTGGGGCCTACGTCAACCCTCTGTCCTGCCTCCACACAGACATGCGGCGTGGGTTTTCTTGTAGATGAAGCACCTTTTGTTTTCCATGCTTTTGAACGGCGAAAGGAGCCTTTTTTGCGAGGAAGATAATTATGGCCGAGTTCGTCCTCTAGTCTTCTGTTTTTAGTTTATTTGCCCGAATCCCCCAAAAGTCCTTCTGGTGGTATCCCATACCGCCTGGTGATAGTTAATCTCAATTTCGGTTCTTAATTTCTAGGCTAGGTGGCGGAAGCTACCGCCCTTTATGAACGGCACGTCCGTTAGCATCCATCCATCCATCCACTACCTTTCTAGGAATTTGTTTTGACAGTGATTGTCTTGGAATTTTTAAGTCAGTTATATTGTCTAACACCTGCAACAGTTTCGTATCATATCTGGGGCCGTGTTTTTGGATTTCGACACAACTATCTGGTTGCCGTCACCGCTAATAGATGGTGGTAGCTGCCCAAAGTGTTGTGTTTGCCGGTTGTTTGCTTGCCGCCGACGCTCATAGATCGCGGCAACCTTTCCAGCCTTTGCAGTCTGGCTTGCCGACTTGCACCCGGTCATTACTTCATTCCCACCATAGTACAGCTTCGCTGGTCCTCCTTCTTCACCAGAGTGGAAAGGCTGAAAGGTTTTTTTTCGGTTTCGGGGGTGTTTTTTGGGGGTTCAATGTTTCCCATAGATTCGGTGTTTTTTGGTGTCTGTTTTTGATTTAGGACAAAAATCGACGTTTATCGATCGGCACTTAAGGAAACAAATTGCAAGAAGACGCTTTAGCTTCGCGTTTCAGAGTGGAACACGATAGGTAAACATATAAACCCCCGCTAAGTTCCCAAGCCGTGCAAGCGTGTCTTCGTGGTCTGTAGTCGGTAGCGTGTTTGGCTTGCAAGCAAAGGCTCGCAACCGCCTCCGCCTAAAATTGTGCAAGTGTTTTCTTTAGGTTAAATTAATTACTTTATGGAGTGAAATCATTTGAGAGATGCGGCAAGCTTTCATTCGCATTATATGTCATCCCTTTCATTCCACGCGTGACCTCACGTTTCACGTGAGCGTTGTGGATTGTTTGAGATTCCCGCGCGAAGTCATGTGGCTGTGACGTCACGACCCTATCGATCTATCCTGGATTTTCCGATCCCGCCGACGCCGGCTTTTCTTCGACACGAGCTCCCTAAAGCTATGGCTTTAATAAGACAAGGTTCTGGCATTCCCCAACCTCCAGGAAACATAGGCGTGACTCGAATGACGTTAAAACTTCCCAGTACAGATACAGAACGAAGCGAGATCAGGGATGCGATTCCCGAAACAATTTGGAGCTGCTTCGCGAACAGCTCAGTTCGGGCTGTGTTCGAAGTGAATATAAATTAAAACTGTACACAGAGATTTCTTACCGTGAAGCTTGGCTTTTTTCTTATAGAAGGACAGTGTCAATTAAGTTAAGGTTTTTCTGAGGGTCGTTTCTTTTACTATTATTTTACTTTTAATAATATTATCATTAATATTATTGTACTTCGACTAAAGTGTGTCCGGACGAAGACCATGGTTGTGTCAGGGCACTGTAATAAACACTGATCCATTGATCGATTGGGTGATCATAATTCATAATCATCATCATCATAACCTGAAATCCGATCGCTTTCTACAGTCCCTTTTAGAGTCACTAAATGAGCTGCGCTTAGAGTATCGGCACTCCGTTCCCCAACACTGTTGTGGGCGCCGCCATTTTGGCTCGTATGCAGAGCAGACCAAACTGCCGATCGTCATGATTCAAAAGTGCGACTTCCTCAGCATTAGATTCGGTGTTAGGGAGCTCATGTAATATTGCCTTGCTCTGTCGCGAACTGTTTAAATATTTGTGGAGGGCGGAAAAGCATTTCCTGTGATTTCAGATAAAGCTTCAGATAACTGGCAACCATGATTTTAAGACACAATATGGCCAAGTGTCGTTACTCTGAAGCGTAGCTTATTTAGTGGCACTAGTCCCTTTGGACCTATCGCCGTGCGCGCGTGCTCTAGTTCCTCGTCGATGAGCACTGTTCCGTCGCAGCGAGAACGTGACCTATCGCGATCGCTCTAACGAGATCCCGAGAAATGGCTCTGGTGGGGGTGTCAGAATTTCTTTCCCCGCTGTCCTAGCAACGAAGCTGGACTACGGTCCGAAACTGCAGGGTTGTCGTGCGGTTGCCAAGCGACGGTGTCGGCGTCCCGACGAGGGATTCCACGGCTCACTCGAGATGCCGGCAAAACTCTAGAGAAAAAAAAAAAGAGACTTTTTTTTATATGTTTTTGCGAGAACATGACCTATCTTTTCTAATTCCCCGCCGAGTATGAGAATCAAGTCATCGCGTGGTCGAAAACTTCTGGCTGCGAAAAGTACGTGCGACCTGTGGTGAGACACGTTGTTTGTGAAAAACGTTATCGCGTTAAGAAAAAAAAAAAATAAAGAACAACACTGACACAGAAAAAGTTTTGACGTAGAACTACGTCTTTCTCCGCGCTTGGAAGGAGGTGCTTAGTTGTCAGTCGTTATCACGAAAACTTGGTCACAGATGTGACGCATCTCGAGGCATGCACCAATGACGCGGCAAACATGCTGTCGCTTCAACCACAGAAACGCCGTCAGCTCTTCTTTTTTTAAGTTTTTTTTTTTTTTTCGAGGTGTAAAGCAATGACGCGGCGAACAGTCAGTCGCGTCAGCCAGGGAGGCGCCGCCGGCTCTTTTTTTCTTCTTTTGTTTCTTTCTGGCAACAGGGTTTTGTGTGTGTGTGTGTGTGTTCGCATCAATGATGCGCTGAACATGCTGTCGCGTCAGCCACGGAAGCGCTGTCTTCTCCATTCATCCATGTGTACTTCTTCCTGAAAAAAAAAAACAGTATTTTTTTTTGCTGAAATGGCCCAATAGCCTACCCAAGTTTTATCCGCGCGGGGGCTGCAAAGTTGCCTCTACCGGATTTCGAGCCACGGGCATTAAATTCTCGCGCACCCGCCATCGTCATGCGACACGAGCCGGTGGACGTATCTCCAGCTGTCACAAACAACACGTCTGGGACAAGTGGACAAGGCACGGCCTCTCATATATCAACTCCCTCTCATTTCCTGTGTCACCCACATGCAGTTCTATGGAAATTGGTGCAGCATAGTACACCTATGCACCGACAAACTAAGTTTACTACTGAGAATTTGACACGTCAATAAAAATAAAGAAATGATATACCACCAAAACATTTTTTTTAATCACCGAATGTTTACGCCGTTAGAGCTGCGGGAGCCTGATTCGCGAAATCCAGTGAAGCTGATTTAGGAAAACGTAGCTGTTCCCATTTCTTTTTCGTTTTATGTTGTTTTGTATTGCGTTGCACCTTTTTTTTTTTTTTTTTCTTTTGAAAAAAAAAAAAAAAAAAAATGGGACGCCAAAGATTCGGCTCTACGATTTTGGTGTTTGAAAAGTATTGCCGTTACTCACTACAAGGGGAAAAGTGTAGCGAGCACAGGATTACCCATCTCACAAATACGAACGGTAATTAAACACCATGAATTGAAAGCGCAGAAAGTACAAAAGAAAGAGACAAACCGGACAGGACAGAGCGCTGTCCTGTCCGGTTTGCCTCTTCCTTTTGTACCTCTTTGCGCTGTTTTATCTCGTCATGTTTAACAACTACCAACTAGCCCAGCTCTCAACCTTATTACAATAGGTAATGCTTCACGCATTAGGGAGAACGTATCGCTACTTGTGAGTTGTGTACCGTTACCGCCACTGCCCGTTTCGTGGAACTTTTTTCCCTCATTCAGATATCTTTGTCGACTGCAGGTTTCCTGACCTTCGTGAACTGCCACAGCGTGAAGCTGGCCATGAAGGTGCAGGGCATCTTCACCTTTGCCAAGCTGGCGGCACTGGTCATTATCATTGTCACGGGCATCGTGCTCATCGGACAAGGTTTGCTCCCTTGGCAGGTTTTACGTCAGGCGGTGAGGTGTCAAAGGTGTTTTAAATAGGCTCTTTATGGTTTCATGAAAAGGGTCACCAACGTTACTAGAACTACTCAGTTGGGAAACTGCCATAGAGCCTGCTTTGAGAGAGTGGCTCCGATCCGTACTCGAGAACCGAGCTAATGGCGATCGCAACGCCGCCGTTTCTCCCGCAGCGTCCACTCCGGTAACCGCACGGCTGCACCATAGAGTTATTATAATGTACGCTAGAGGTTCAACTGGCGCTAGTGTCTATGCGACTTCCGTGACGCAAATTGAAGCAGACAGCAACCAGTCTACTTTTGCGGTGCTCCTGTTCATTCTTATGGGAAAACGCGCGTGCATTTTGTCTCTTCGCCGGAAAATAACACTGAACACTTCGGTTATTTGGGTCGTACCAAATAGCATGTACCTTGATTAACACTGTATAAGTGTAATTGCTTTAGTTAGCGCATTTTTCTTCATCAGTGAACGATATTGAACTTCGCTACATTTCAGTCCCGAACGTGTGTTCCGCAGCAGGTGTGTAAAAACAAGAGACGATTCAAAGCAAAATTACAATCGAAACGAATATGGAGTGGGTTCAAGGCTCGCCAGCATTCCGGTGACGATTGTATATTGACAATATGCCAGTCCTGTCACTATATGAGAATGATCCCGTCGTGCATGAGGGGATAAAAACCTTCAAAACGTAGATAATAAAGTCCGTGGGCTATGAAAGGTGTCTCTTCGTATTGTTTTCTCTGCCGGGCAGCTTTTATCGCGCACTTGTTCTCAAAGATATCGAGCGCGCGGGTGATATTTTGAACGTAGAACAAGCAGCTTCGCTCAGGGCAGAAAGAATAAAGCGGTACTTACTTATTTAAAATCGGAATAGATTACGTGGCCTTCAATTTATTTTGATCGTACACGCACTGCGAGTTACTGATCCGGTGTTACTGCGCAGTTCTTGCCGCCGTTCTTGATTTTCCAGATGTGCTTCGTTCGTTTGGCATGTATATCCCCCATGCTGGAAATCGCCGACGCCGCGTTCGCGCTAACAGTGTCCGACAGTGCACATAAATACACGTACGAAGCCGTTTTAGCACCGTTCTTAATGCGATGAATTCGAAAGAAAAACGCCGTAACTGACCAATTCTTTCGTTGGCCTGACTGAGAAATGTTCCAAACTACCTAGTACGTACGAATTGTTTGGGTTATTTGCTCTTATGATCGAGCGCAGGCAGAAAATGCACTCACTTTTTCCCATAGAAATGCATTACCGGAAGTCAATTTTCGACTGGTTGCTGTCTGCTTCAATTTGCGTCAGCACACTAGCGCCACTTGAACCTCTAGCGTACATTATAATAACTCTATGGGCTGCACATATTGGTTCAGGTCGAGTCGGGCATGGGTCGGTGGCGCCATCTCGCAGGGCCATCTCGCAGTAGCTATATAAAGCAACTTTCCTGTTTTGACTCGGCGTTAAAGGGTGGCGCTGTTATCGTATTTAGCTTGGTCTCTGTGGACGCCAGCGGTCCAAGTCTCAAGAGTGAATTTTCCAGCTGAGTGTTTTAGTAACGTTGAGGGTCACTAAAGAAGTTTTTTTTTTTTACTTTGTTGGAGGACTCTTGAAAGGCGCACTAAAGTGGATTTGGACTTTTTCATTTAAAGATGTTTAGGAGAGTTCAAGAGAGTTCTGACATCTTTCTGGGAGAGCTAGGTACACTCAAAGGGGTTTTGGCTTTGTCTTTTAGGACTCTTAAATGGTTCTCTAGAGAGAATTTTGACTTTACGTGTTGTAAGGACTCTTGAAAGATACACTAAAAAGGTTTTTGGCCTTTGCCATGCTAAGATTATTAGGACGTGCACTAAAGAGGGTTTTGACATGTTTCTTTGAACTAAGAGCCAGACCCTAGTGTTTTGACTTTGTTTCTAGAACTCCTAAAATGTTCTTTAGATAGGTTTTTTTACTCATTCGTGTAAGGATTCGTCAAAGATGCACCAAAGAGGTTTTGGACTGCCATTTTAAGTTGCTTAAAGGGCGATGCACTCAATATCAAATCAAATCAAATCTTTATTATCTAGAAAACTGGAGGGATCGCCAGACAGAAAGCTGTTAAAAACAGCTTGCCTGGGTGTGGAATCCCTTTACATTGGCAGCAACTTCGACGCTCAAAAATACACGCTACATAAAAATATAAAAAAATACCACAAAAACATATAATTCAAAATCCCACTACGCGAAGCTACACACAGTACAAGCGGAGGTCTTTTTTATTTAGCGTGTATATGTGTATGTTGTTTGTGATATACTTTTTTAATGAGCATGGTACATTATATTGTAGTGACTGAAAGTTGTAGTTTGTACGAGATTGAGGAAGCACATATGTCTATGTACGGCGTGTGTTAACATTACTTTCATTCATTTTGAGTCTTGAAATCATATGTACAAAAAATGTACGAATACCTCGGAGGAAAAACAAATCCCACTAAGTCAACGGTATTCGTACATGCTCACTACTGGAAGTATTCTAAATTTTGTAAACAAAGGTTCTTTGCGGTCCGTATATAAAAAATCCGCGATATAGCGTGCTATTTTTTTTTTTTTTTTCAATAGTAATACATTTTGAAGATCTGTTTTTGTCGTTGTAGCACACACAAGATGACAATAGTTTAAATGAGAGTGAAATAGAGCATGGCAAATTTGTAGCTTAATGTTGGGGGGTAAAACATTCCGACAACGAGTGACAATAACGACAAGTGCTTCGAAAAAAATACACCTAAAGTTTTATGTTTATTTACTCGTTCAATTTCCGAAGTGTCAAGTTGGACTGTGTGATTAACCACGATTGGTTTATTGGTAGCCCTAAATAAAATAGCCTTCGTTAACTTTTGCGTTTACGTTGAGCCGATTTACTTCGGGCCACTTAGAAAACTCTTTTTAGAACAGAGTCTGCTTTGCATAGTACTACATTAGCATCATCACCAGAAAGAAACAGGCATGTGTCGTCTGCATGAATAATAAACTGCGCTTCATTGTCAATATTTACAATATCATTGATGAAGACATTAAACAAAAGAGGTCCTAATACACTTTCCTGCGGTACGCCTTGCTGTACATTTCTAAAAGAAGAGCAATGACCATCGATAACAACGCAGTGCTTCCTATGTTGTAATTATGATTTCAGTAAAACAAGTGGCACACCTAAAGAAGCGCAAAAAAAAAAAAAATACAAGGACAAGGAAGTAGACAGACAAGAGCGCTTGTATGTCTACTTCCTTGTCCTTGTATTTTTTTTTCTGCGCTTCTTTAGGTGTGCCACTTGTTTTACTGAAATCATAATTACAATATAGGAAGCACTGCGTTGTTATCGATGGTCATCGCTGTTCTTTTAGAAATGCACAGCAAGGCGTACCGCAGGGAAGTGGGCAGACAAGCGCTCTTGTCTGTCTACTTCCTTGTCCTTGTATTTTTTGCGCTTCTTTAGGTGATCATAAACCAACTGGCCCAAATTGCTACCTTAATGAAGTGGCACACCACGGACGCCTTCACGACGCCCCGCCCCCTCTTTCCTCCTCCCGGTCTAATGTTGGCCCTCGTACTTCCCACTGTCGGTTATCTGGCCCCCACGCTCAAATGAGTTTGAGACCACTGGTGTATAGGAAGGTCTCAGCGTTCTTTGCACATGGCCGAATGTGAAGGCTGTCGGCGCCGGGCTAAAGCACGGAAGAGAAGGCAACACGTGGGGGTTTACCATCAGAGCGATGAGTTTTAGCAAGTCGTTTCCACAAGAACGGTTCGTCCTTGAACGCATCACCGACGCCACTGCGTATGCGCGCGCGAGTCGTTCGGCGCGTCTGGAGGTTCTTCTCGTTTGTTTCTTCCATTCCGATCGCTGGAGCCGTCACCGGAATGTAGCCAGCACCGTTCACGACTTGGGTAAAAAAAAAAGAAAAAAAGATGGCCGTTCGGCCACGCACGCGCTCGCTTGGCGACGCGCGTGGCAACATCCATCTGCAAGAAATATTACAAAGGCAACACGGGGTCTGTATGAATAGTACAGGGTGAAACAAGGAGACGCCAGGCTCTTTAAATTGACCGGAAAATTCGGTTTCTTAACCTATCACGCTACGACTTTGTGCAACGTTGTCCACAGATGGTGCATTTTTTTTTTTTTGTAAAATTTGCGAAGAGCGAACTTACCCGAGGAAAAAGTAAAGAAAGAAAAAGGCTTAGCTCCTATGTAAACGCAGCGACGCCACCGGTCTGCAAACAACACGGCGCCGTTTCGCACGGGAGACGAGAGATGGCGCAAGCCGTCGCGACGCCAACTGCCGCCAACGAACGAGCAGACGACGCCGAGAGCCGGCCCTTTTGCAGACAAGGAACTGCAGTTCCTTGCTGTTGCGAGCGCCTATCCAGAGATCTGCCCGTGCCTAGATCTGGGGACAACGCCAGCGTAGGGAAAACCGCTCGTAGGGAATCCGTTCGGATGGTAGTGATGATGATGATAATCATGTCATATAACACCTGAGACTGTGGTCGAAGAAATTGGAAACTTTTTAGTAGAAGGATCAGACACAAAAAGGGACGTCTCAAACTCAGCTAACTGGTTTATTTCTCGACTATCCTATATCATGATTGACTTGCCCACTGGCGCCACCCTGGCCTCGCTGTTTTCAACTTTCTCGGGTGCTCAGGTTGCCGGAGCGGCGTGTTTGAGCCGTTTGAACCACAGGTTTGAACCGTTTCAACGGGAGTAATGGCAAAACGGACGGAGTAGCACTGCGTGGCCTCGCAATCCCAGCGACCCGACGAGCTCGCAAAGCGGTGCTCGGAAGACGACCCTCCCAAAGCCGACGACGCGCACTCACCTCTGTGGACGGCGAAGAAACATCGTCGCACTGTGACAACGGCGACTAGTACACGGCATAAGTACAAGTGCATGATTTGTGACATGTGCTTCAAGAAAATCTACCTAAAGGAGGTTCACGGGGACGCTGACACGAGCTGGATCACACTGTCCGCTGCCGCCTTGCATGCGATCTGTGTCCAACAGCTTTTGCATTCCATTGGGGACTTCCTGCGCCACTTTGAAGCGAAACACGGGATCGTCGCGAGGCGTGACAAGTTAAAGTTCAATTTGTTGAAAGGTAAGTGCGCTCGCTTGGTTTTCTACCTTTTGTACAGAAGAAAAATCAATAACAATGCCTACCACTGTTACAAAAATACGGTTTGGGCCTAGAGCAGAAAAGATATAATTCAAGCTCTCGTTTAAAGACTAAAAAATCTGAAAAGAGACGACAATTCATTACCACAAATTTGCATCCGCACCAATGGTGACTATTGCGATTGCACAAAGGGAATACACTGGTCCTCTAATAGCACGAGCTGCCACATGAAATCCCAGCATATGTTGTCGTATCGGAAATTAATTAAAAGTGTATTGTTGGGCCAGTTTGGTCATCTCGAAAACATTGCAAAAGAAGAGGATAAGAACAGAAATGGCAACAAGCGTTACCATCTAGTATTGACTGACTGTTTAATGCGTGCTAAGAGAATTACGAGAAGAAAGTCGGTTTGTTAATTTTTTTTTTCTTTCCTTTTCTCTTCTAGAGGGTTGTTCATCTTTCTAGAGCATCAAAATGCAACACTGCCTTTCTTTGAATCTCAGAGTGACACATTCTTTTCGATAGTGCCACTTGTCCTGTCCCTCTCTCGTCTTTTGTGCAAATTGTTTTCGAGATGCTTAAAGGGATACTACAACGAAATTTCGGCGCTCATTTTTTTGGTCTATATGTGTTCAAAAGAGCAGTATCACATAGAACATACCAATATCTTGTTAAAAAAGTCTCGAAAATGAATTTTAAAACAAATTAAACAATTAGCAAAGAGCACCTGGTGGATGTCGCTAACGCCTCGCTTGTAATGCCCGTCTAGGAACCTTGACAGCTAGTGACGGAGGTCGTCTTGCTTCCGGCCACGACGAGAGAAGAGGGGCAGGAGGAACTCCCCTCTTCCCGAGAATGCCTTTTGTGTGTCGCAGAAGTCGCTATTGTCCCCCTACAAGATTACAGAAGATTAACCCGTCACTCAAAATTCCTACAAAAGCAGCCGCTTCGGTGGCTGGAACGACTAGGCCATCCTCTCGACGTCAGTCTCGCCGTAGCTTTGATCGTCTTGAGACGACCTACGTCACGATTGCGTTGGATGTCACGTGGTCTCCGCTGGGCCTTCTCCGAGCGCTTGCCAGAGTGGGCCGTTTATAACGAAAAATATAGCCACCAGGCTCAAAATACAAACGTGCGATTGTCATTTACGGATATTGTGGATCATATTCAACCTATTTTTGAACACGACGGGAATATTTCAAATTTCGTTGAAGTATCCCTTTAAAACTTGCTGTGCGGTACGAGTTTATTCTTTCGTTCCCCTCTGAAATGTGCTTTCAAAGTGGTAGTTTGTGACGTCGTATACAGAGCTCTTTTGTTCTGCAGGTGCACGGTCCTCAAAAAGCTTGTGCACCAACTGCACTGATCAAAGCTATGGAACTCAGAGTACTCCTGGAGAAGTGGCAATCAGTTCATTGCATGACGTTTCATCGACAGCTCAGATTACCTTTTTTTCTGTAATAAGCTGCATGAGACTGTCACTGCGACAGTCTCATGCAGTGTCGGTAAGGTGGGTTAACATTTTTGTAATGAGCCGCCGCGAAGCGGCGTGAACGCAGGCAGGCAGGCGGGTGGGTGGGTTAATGCATACCCCAGTGATACACGCAAGACGAAATGTCCCTACAGCGTGCAATTCGCATAACAAGCATCAATGAAACGGTTGTGTTGACGAAACGTGTGTTCATGAAAAGTTGTCCATGAAACATAATTTTACGAAGCGAGTTTCGATGAAATGAAAGGGACCCTTTATGGAGTGGCATGCGCTGTGTAGCCGAAAACCCATATTTGACGTCATAAACGGTGAATGTGAAACATGGATATCTTGCGTTTGCCAACAATTTTGCACCAAATAATTGTCATATTTGGATTCATGGGGTAAAACCAGGCAAGAATTGACCTCCAACTATATTTTTAGGAACCACTTCAGCTTTCTTTAAGCCATGTTACTTTACAAGCATGACTTTCACATCAGGACATCAACAGGATCGCCTCCTAAAGCAGACCTGTGCATGGGAATAGCCATACTTCCAGTGTATATACCTTATAACGTCCTGAAGGAGTATTTTACCACTTGCAATTCATTTAGCACTGAATTGTTTGTGCGGTAACATACTTCCTCGTTACGTTTGGTCGAGAAAGAGTTGAATGAATGTCCGAGCCCTTTTTAAGATAAAATAGAATGTCAATTTTTATTCCTCGAGCAAACACTTGTTCTCGTGCATTGACGCTAAAGCTTGTGGATAGTGTTGCAAGTCGTGTTGCAAGTTGCACCAGGGAACGGTGACACGATAGCAAGGTAGAACAAGAGGTTTAATATGGCGATCGGCTCAGAGCCAGGTACGTTCTAGCCACGGTCGCAAGGCATGATTTCATGTGCACGAGCCGCGGAGCTCTATCTGCTCGGCTGCTCAGTGTAGCCAACATCTCCCCCATACAGAAGAGTCAAAGTCTCAGGGGAGCCTTGATGCATCGGCCACTTCTCGTCTGTGAATGAAGATTGCCTTCACATTCTATACGTGGCTCTTGAGCATCTCCGCTCTCAACGACTTCCGCAACCCACTTCTGACACCATGTTGCAAGTTGCGCCAGGAAAGGTGACACGATAGCAAGGTAGAAGAAGAGGTTTAATATGACGATCGGCTCAGAGCCGGGTACGTTCTAGCCACGTGCGCAAGGCACGAGTTCATGCGCACGAGCCGCGGAGCTCTATCTGCTCGGCTGCTCAGTGTAAGCTTAAGCACATAACCTTAAGCGCATAAGCTTAAGCACAAACCTAGCACACCTGATTGTAGTGGCTTTGGCCGTTGCCACAGGTATGTATGATGGGAGTATGGCTACCTGGGGAGTGAAGCAGAGGGGTCATAGTGTTACTCTAATATCCCGAGAGATAGCCCACCTAAAATCAATAAAAAAATGGCTCAAATTAAGGAGTGGGCTCACTTGCAGTGTGAAGCAATAATGGCTCTACTTGCCAGTCGGCAATGGTTCATTACATCTTGCCATAGCTAACTCGACACAATAACTAGACACGTTATCTCCCCAATAGTTAACTAAAAGGAAAAAAAAGCAAATGAAGCCAAAAACTGGGGTGGCTTACCTTTCGAGGCTGGGGCATCTCTCAGAATTTTATGGTAAGCATATATCTCACGTCTACAGTTTACATGGTACCAACACACTGGGGTTTTTCAGCTGCTCTTGTGACTGCCACTATAATGAGACTTGACTCTTTTCTAGGGGTGTATGAATACTTTAATATCGGAATACAAATAAAATAGTAAGCTCTCGGATGAATCGATTCGCGAATAAAATTCTTAGTGTTTGGTTAACCGTAAATTTAAAATGTTCTGTGAAAGATGCGCGGTTGACATGGAGCCAAAGAAACTTGTGCTTCCTCTCCATTGTAGTGTGCACTTGCATTGAACTTATGAATATGCAAAACATATTTTGGTTTGCGTTTTTTTTTTTTTTTTTGTCCTCCCGTCACTCACATAGCAGGTGCACTTGCAAACACTACACATGTGGGGTGCAGTGAACCTGTTCTTGCAGACCGTAGTGTTTAGGAGTGCACCTACTATGTGGGCATTGGGAGCACAAAAAAACCATGGACTGCATGCTACAGCTAAAAGTCTGATTGGGATGTACATTTAGTGAAACAAACATGAAGATGTTTTGATGTGACTGACATACCACTCTTAATTCAGGCCATTTCATTTTAAGCTTTCTTTCTTCTCTGCCTGCCAGAATTCAGCGACTGGAGGGAGGCTAAGGATGGCAGAGAGCATGTTCGCTTCATTCTCCACGACGGACCCAAGGGACGAGATGAGGGTGTCCTGAAAAGGTATTACTACTGCCACCGCTCTGGATCATTTCAGAGCAAGAGGTAAATGACAACTGAGAACCCAGGGCACTTGTAAGACTAATGTGCAATGCTTAGCCACAATTCAAGCTACAGAGAAAGATGGCAAGGTGACAGTAGAGTACCAGGCAGAACACTACGGCCACCCGAAGGAACTGAAGCACCAGCGCCTCTTTACGACTGAGAAGGAGGCTTTAGCTGATAAACTAAAGCAAGGCATCCCCGCCCGTAAAGATCTGGTAGACGCACATTCTTCTGCTGGCAGTGAGATGGGCAGGCTACATTTGCTCTCAATGAAAGACATTGGCAACATCTCCGCCGAGCATGAAATTCTGACGAAAGAGCTACGGCACTGAACAAAGTCAGATTCCCCAGTCCTGTACTGACATGGAGGAAGGAAAACAAAAAGAGCTTTGAGCTTGCCCTGATGACTGTCCCTCAGAAAGAACGCCTCACAAAGCTTGGCCCCAAGTTTCTGTGCATTCACTACACTCATAATATAAATGGCCACAATCTGCAACTGAAGACTCATGACAGCTGCAGAAGATCAGTCAGGCATGCCATGCACATATTTGATCTCAAAGTAACTAGACACCAAGGCTATGAAACACTCCTTAAGGCCATAAAGGTAATGCATGGGAGGAAGTGATGGGCTGTGCCCAACATTGGATGCTCTGCTCGTGGCATGTAAGCCACGACTGGGCTCTGAAGTTGCAGTCAGTCCAAGATATAAGCAAACCCGTGACCGTCTTTGCGACGAGTTGTGGGCGCTGAGAAATTGCAAAGATGAGGATCAATTCCAACGACCTCCGACAGGCTTCCCGTGACCTCCGACAGGCTTCCCGTGTCAGAAACTAAGTGAAGAGGCTGATCCAAAACTAATTCAACAAGTACAGGAGTTTCTTCAGTACTTTGGGCACTACCATGGTGGCAGAGCCTAACAGTGGGCGCTCTGCTTCAGAAAGGGCATTCCTTTTAATACTACCAACCACTTGGAGGCAATGTACAAGGACCTGAAGTCACGCTTATGCATGGAACTCACAACCAGAGGCTTGACAAGCTGTTGATGATCCTCTTCGAACTGAGCCGTGACCGGCTCTACAAGCGTCCCAAGTCGCTCGTAAAAGGAAAAACGAATCGGCATGATGCAGCCCTTTTTCGGAGGCACCAGGAGGGGATGAAAATTCCAGCATCAGATGTAGAACAGCTGCAAAATGGCAATGGCTGACTTGTAAAGTCTCAGTCCCAGACAGAGAGAAGCTACCATGTTGAGAAGGGCGACCCCCGCCAGAGTTGTGTGCTTCGTTGCAGGGACTGTGATATCTTTATCGACAGTTACAAGTGCACTTGCAATGACAGCCTGATTTCATCATCAATGTGCAAGCATATTCACGCAGTAGCTTACCTGGGGATTCATGTGACGACCGTGGAGGAGGCCGACACTGAGCCAGGTGTAGAAATGCCATCAACAACACTTGAAGCAACAGGCTTTACGTTAGATGATGAGCCACAGTCCCTCTTGGATGACATTCGGCAGGGTATTGAGGTAGGGATGGAGAAGACTCAACCAAATTCAGAGGACAACATATGTTTAACAATAAGTGGACTGAACAAGTCCCTCTCCAGGAAGAAATTGACAAGCTCTTCAAGCTCCCTGGTGTTGAAATACCGTACCAAGGCCCAAGAAGTACTTGACTCTGTTCCAGATGAGACTTCTCCAAAACCTAGGGTAATCCCTCACAACAAAAAGATGGAAAAACAACCACGGTACTTTCCCCCCCAAAAAACGCCCTGGTTCTGGTCCCATGCATGGCAAACCTCCCACCAGCTTGGAGCAGCAGCACATCATGCAGGGCCTTGTAGCCAGGTGAGTTCCTACAGAAGGAGCAGCATCCGCTCAGCTCCATGTGGATGTTCCGAGCATGTCTGTGCTGGCCCTCAAGGAGCATGACTACTTTGCAAATCAGTAGTCGTGACAATTGGACTACAAAAAAGGGGCAGTATTCTTCTTGCAAAAAGGAATGGCGTGTTGGACAGCTTGGATTTCTTTCCACTTTGGAGAATGTCACGAGAGGCTCGAGCTAAAGGCAAGAGGGGCATCTCTTACCATCCTCCAACAGGTTACGTTAGGCGAGGCATTATATGCTGACCTTAATCGTAACACTTTTTTAACAACCAGGGATTGGCAATTTTATTTCAGTTGATACGGAACGGTTGTCTCTAAATTAACGGGCAACCATAGTGCCTCGAAATGCTTGTTTATAAGCGTGCCCCTCCATGAAACCGGCACTCTTTTTTTTAGATAGTATTACTGCACGAGAATGTGCAGCTTTTTCCGCTTTGGAGAATGTCAAGAGGTGCTCGAGCTCGCCATTCTCCAACAGGTGGCTTATGTTATCAGCTGGTCTTAATTGGAAAAGTTTTAATGGCCAGAGCTTGCCAATTTAATTTCAAATTTATGCAGACAGGTTACGTCTAAGTTAATGAGTAACCATAATACCTCAAGTTGCCTGTTACATGCTTATTTTTTATTTTGCATACTGCTGCACGGGAATGTGAAAGTTGCAGTTCCCGCGACATACCAAATTATTTTAGTATGTGACTTATATGCTTTAGGATATAATCGTTTTCTTGCTAATAAGTGCCTATAATCACTGTTTCATTGTTTTGTGAGCCAAGAGGGAGTGACCACTGGCGACCACAAGCATGAGGATCTGCTACAGGAAGCATAATCATGTAAGTCATCCCTGTGTGCACGGGATAGTTTGTAACGGGCTAGGTGAGATTCAATTGCCAGCATTTTAAAAAGCGATAACTCAGAGGAGAGTAAAAGTACAAGCAAGCTGGTGAATTGCAGACGAAAAACTGAAACACCAGAAGGAAAAAGGACACGAAAAAAAGGATGACACACACACACACCGTCTCGAACACAGCTGAAGGTTTATTCCAAAACCACACCCTTTTATAACGGTACACCACAGTCAACGCCAAGAACCCTCACACCAAGTCACACACCCAGACCAGAGCAAACAAAAGAAATGCACTCGACGCTTCCATACGTGCCAAGGTCAAGCAACTGACAAAAAAAAAAAATTGCATTGGTCAAAAAGTCTGTCTTTGCTTGTGAATCACCATAGACGAGACACTTGCGCAATTACCAGCAGAACCAATACTAAGAGTTTCTTCTACCGCGCGTTTGAACTGATCTCGCTCGGCTTATCACCGTAGTGGCCATCCAATTCGGATGACAACTGTTGCAAACTTATAAATGTACTACAGTTTCTGAATTTGGGGATTGCAGAACACACCTTTTGTGCTCTATGATTTGCTCATTAACATAACATCCAGTTTAAACTATGTATGAAAACCCAGGTGCCAAAGGAATATTATAAACACTACCATATTGACATTCAGTGGCAGGATTCCTATGCATTTTCCCGCAAACTTTTTCTACCTCTTGTGAAAGGAGTCGACCTACTTTATCTGAAGTCTTCAGAAGCACGTTCTCATGGTCACTCTCGTCGTCGTCTGAGGCCGTCTTGTCTTCACAGGCAATGTGAGACTCACTCTGAAGACAAATTCGGGATCTTCAGCATCGCTGCCGTCCGAACTGCTCCTAGGAACAGCTCTTTTTCTGGGAACCATCACCGCCATTAGCATTCCTCATGCGTGTCGCCATTTTAAATTCACGTTGCCAGGCCAACAACTGCTGTCAGGCTAAACACATTGCAAAAGTGCAAAACGCTTTTTTTTTTTTTCTAGCACCTTTTTAGGTTGAAAATAGAAACCGAAACCAATTTTTGAACGTAACTTGTCTTTGACGCAGAGAGCAGCACAGCATGAGGGTGGACGAATGTGACTCGTCATTGGTGATATTTGTACAAACTAATAATGTGCACAGCTCGGACCAATGTAATTTAGCACACAGGTGGAATATAATTGTGACATTGTCTGTCCCTTTTTTTCTATCTCTTATAATTTTTTTCCCCCTTTTTTGACCACAGTCCAGTCTTTTTTGACCACAGTGTCAACCGTCAGCTTGCCTGCACATAAACCTTTTTTTTTTTTTTTTTCAATAAAATTGGCCATTTCTAGCTATATTATTGAACAGAGCTCACTTTAGTAAAAAAAAATAAAAGAGAAAAAAATTTTTTTTTTCTGTAGTTTACGTGTGAAAACCAAATTACATTTTAGGCCACTGTCTATTTTGGCAAAGGGTGACAGATAATACATAAGCCAAGTTTACTTCCTTCCCATTTCCTCATTTTTTCAGTCGTAATAAATGCCACGGTGGCCCAAAAGGCTGTTTGATGATATTGCACCAAAAGGAGTGGGCAATCACCCATAAAAAGTGTTGTTTCCTTAGCTGTGGGGGGGCTCAAACTTTTAGGTTGAGCTGCACCATCTAGATCACTTCTGTAGTAAATCGTAGCACGATAGGTCAAGGTAGCAATTTATGCGGTTCTTTCAAAGGGTTATGCGCATTTATACTCGTGCTGTATTTTTACAGATCAAGAGACTTGTATGACTGAATCATGCCAGCTGTGTACTAGCTTGTTGAAGGCGCCACATAAATGACGACATAAGCCATTGACTTTAGTGGCACACCAACTTTTTGTCAAAGTGCCCATTAGAATTGTCAAAGGCAACGCTATCAACGCAGTTTGTCTGTGCAATGCCATCAATGCAGTTTGTCTGTACCACTGCCGTTCAAAGTCCGGTAGCTAGCCCAAATAGTCTAGCATCACATACGAGGTTCGTTGGCAGAAAATGCAAGAACAAATGAAGTTCAGGCACCTTGTGCAGCCTCACCAACAAATGTAGACCACATACTGCAATGGCAAAAACACAGAGGTCGTCCGCTTCTGTCCACATACCTTCTGCGCATGCGCGAGTTTGCCGTTGTGTTGATAAACAAAGCACGCCGCACGTCGGTGTATACACTCTGCCAATTTGTAATTTATGTGATGAAGATTTCTACAAAACTAAAACATATTGGCTGTTGCTGAATTGTGCCAAAAACATTAAGGGTGATTTCAAATAAGATAGATCAAGGGGTGGCTGGTCGACAATTTCAATTCAATTGATATTTTTCTGTCATTGCTTAATATCCCGTATTTGCAACTCCAACGCCCCATACGTGGCAAGGCGGTACTTCCAAGATGGCAGAAGAGACGAAGATAGATTCTCCAGGATTTCACATGCACCTGCTTGTTCACGCTTGTCACTGCGCTAAAAATGACTCATTTGTGTACAAATGCGAAGCAGTTAGGGCAGGATCATATTACAGGTGACGGAGATATTGATGCGTGGTAGAAAAACGAGCATACTGATATTTAAAAGTTGCAGAAACCCCAACTTCCGAAGCTTTGTGGTGTGTGAGCGCGTTTTAGACACCAACCACATCACTGTTTGTGGCAACATATTTTAGAGGGTGATGAAGATATTGTGTTTGCGCTTTGCCTGGCCATTAGTGCTCTAAAAAGTGAGCCGTGCACGGTGACCATCAAGCTTCAGAAGAGCAGCGTTCACAGTATTGATGTCTTCGTGTCACAGGCACGCAACTCGCTGCTCACCTTCTAGGTTTTAGTGTGAAAACCAAATTCGAAGTGCCATCTAGATTTTCGTTTACGAACTGTGTGCTCCATAGAGTGCTGTGGAACTCCATTTAGACGCTGAGCTTCAAAACATGTATTCCGTAAAATACAGTGCAGTTACCATAGCAGCCGTGTCTATTTATTGTTGTAACTCAATATATAGGCTCTAAGCATCCTAAAAAAACCTGAAACCACATTCAAGAGCAGCCGATTTCCCTAGTAAAAGTACAATCAAAGATTTTTCCGCGCCTCTCTTTCTGCATTGTGGTGCCACCAGACAGGAAGGCAGCAGGGGAAGGCACATGACAGTAAATCACGAGTGACGGTTTCCCGGCGGACTGACTTTTCGAAGGCGCGCATGGTGGCACCCCCTGGTGTTCTGCGCCATGGCACAGAAAGAGGGGCGTGGCACAATCTTTGATTGGACTTTCAATAGGGAAATCGGCCAGCCTTGAATTTAATTTTGGGTTTTTTAGGATGCTTAGAGCTTATAGATTGAGTTACGACAATAGACGGTATCAGAATCCACTTGAGTGTCCCTTTAACAAAATAATTTGTAATGGTTACACCCACCATGTCTAAATAATTTTCTTTGTTTCTGATTCTAAAAAGTATTAGTCTTCTCCTGGTGTTACTGTTTTAGTTATTTAATTTCAAAGATGCCTGCTCCAATAGTGAGCGTGAATGCGACCGTCTACCTTTATGTGATCTAAGATTTCTTGTGCGCCCAGATTCTTTTTCTGATGAAAAATAAACATGTTTATTTACACCGGACATTAGGCAATGACATATAAAAATATCAATTGACTTGAAAATGTTGACCAGCCATCCTTCGGTCAATCTTATCCCAAAATCACCCTTAAATTGTCCAAAACAGCCCGAACCTGCACCAAAATACCTCCAAAACTTTTTTTTTTTTTTTTTTTCAATTTTTTTTTTGTTATATAATAAGTTTTTGTTGCGATACATGTTTTACTTTAATGTGGACTTTTCTGCTCCTAAGCTGCTTCAAAATGTACATGTTCTCCTCTTGAGCTGCTCCGAAAATTTTTTACAGAATTTGTTTTAACTGTCTTACTTAGTCATGGGCAGTAGCCATACTCAAGTTTACCTTAAAAGGACACTGCCCCCCCCCCCCCTCACAAATTGTTTTTTAATTTTTTGCCAGGCGTTTGAATACTATTTAAGTAATATTTCGCTACAGAGAAGACAGAATGCACCGACACCGTGAACGACAGTTCTGAAGTAGAGGTCCCACGCCCGTCATCCGCGAGTCCCACGAAACGTGAAACGACGCCATGTTGAGAATTATGCAGTGAACGCACAGAATGCTTCCAATTGTCTGTGCAACCTTTTTTTTTATTATTTTTTTCAATCAACATATTTGCAGCTTTTTGGGAGTTACAAAAAATGTTTCATTTTTTTTATACTTTTAGGATTCACTGTGTGCCTTCAATGACCCACGACTTTGATTAAATTTGATGGTCGTGTCTAAACCTTAGAAAACTGCCTTGGAAAAGAGAGTGAGCGTGACTCGATCGGCAGTTTTCGGGCGGAAAGAAACCGAATTTCGAGCTGCAAATTTTGTTCTAGGTAGTTCGGCTCTCATATGTCACATAAAACTAACAACCTCGGCGAGCATAAATACCCTGTCAGTGTCCCTTTAAAGGGTCCCTGAAAAGAAAAGTTTTTTTTAAACAGTCTGGTTGGGACACGCAAGTCAAAAATCAAATCTTATGCGAAAAAAAAAAAAAAATTTTCTAGAGCAATATTGACGGCGGGAGTTTATTTGAAATTTTGTGTGCAAAGCCCATGAAGTCACGGGTCATTCCGGAATAACCATCTCGGTCGTGAAGGCAAAGCCGGTCCATTTCTACTCCATGTGCCCGAAATGCCAAGAGAAAACAAGTGGAAAGGAGGTAACTGCCGACTAAATGGCGTCTTGTGCCGTCATTATTGGTCTAAACGAATTTTTTTCGCATAAACTAATCTTTTGACATGCGTGTCCCAACCAGGCTGTTCAAAACTAACTTTTTTCTTTTCTTTTCAGGGGCCTTTTAAGGTGGATTGCAGCAGATGCTACGAGCCAGCACAACTAATTCTGTGCTGAGAGTGTGTTGGGCGACCTTCCGGCTTGGCGCAGCAATGCGCAATGTCACGTGACACTCTGGCCGGGCGTGATGGCTTCTAGCATCAGCTGCGCTCCATCTTAATGCGAAATGGAGTGTGATTACTAGTAATGCATTACCGGTCAGTTGTTACTTTTTCCAATAGCTTTGAACTGTAACGCGTTACTCTTTATTAGCGGTACTTTGTAACTGTAACACTTACTTTTTTATTGGGTAACTGCAACTTTTAAAGTGATGTTCTTTAAAGCCAAGTTCCATGTTCTTTAAATCCGAAAAAGAGGGGGGGGGGGGGGGGGGGGTTTGCTGTTTATTCTTTTCTTGCAAATTTGATGTTATTCATTGTCTATTTTTGCTGTTGACCGGAATGCATGCAGGGGTTGTGTCATAGGAGTGACAGCATATCTATAAGACCCATGGAGTGCTAAATGGCACATGTAGAAACACTTTTCAAAGGAGGAAGCAGCCTTGCAAACAGATCAGTGTAGTCTGTATTCAAGAGAACACGAAATGAAGATGTCAAGACAGGTTGTTTGTTGTAAAACTGGTGTTTTTCTTGTTAAAAAAAACTTGAATTTCTTATTTGCTTTTTTCCACCGATTTTGAGAAACACTTTTTAGGGGTTACTTTTCAGTGTTTGCCGTCATACCAAAAACCTAGAACTTTACCTATAGTACATTGTTTTGAAATAACCTTTTAAGCCACCCAGGGGTGTTGCCGTTTTGGTGCCTGCCACCTGAGCCTTTTTTTCCCTGAACACTCACCATAGGTTAATACTAACCCTCAAGGAGGGAAGCACCTTCAATCTGTTGAAAATGCCAAAGTATGACAGGTGAGCAGCAGGTAACAAGTGATGAAGATTGCTCATCTGGACAAAATGTTTTTGGAGTCGAAATCGAGAGAAACATTTTTATTAGGTTTTCATTTGGCTGCCCTTGCAACAAACCTTACCTTGATTTTGTATTAAACAATAAAGCTATTTGTACTGGACCCAGTGAAGTATATGTGATTGAATAGAGGTGGAGCCATTGGAATGGGAAGGTCAAGGTCCTGTGTAATTCAGTTCACTGACCATTGCAAGAAAATGTAGCATCTGCTGGTGGATTCTGTGACCTTTTGCTACAGCAATTATTGATTATGTGCAGGTACCTGGACCTCGAGACCGGTGGCCTTGGAGATGTCAGCAAGGCTACGGGGTGATTTGCTCACCGCGAGGCTGTGCAATTTAGTGGCATGGAACTAGTGCCTCATTTCGGAGATCTCCATGGCGAGTGAACAGTGTAAGGCTGGTGGGGCAAGAAGTTTATTGGAAGGTTTTGTCATGCCATGGTGATCAACATTCATGACAGGTTCATCTGCCGAACTAGCTATGCAATAGAGGCAAGCCTGCTAAGTCACTGGGATTAGTCGTCAGTGTGTGGCGCAGAGGACTTCTAGGGACAAGTCCAGGAGACGAACATGCAATATTTATTCTGTCTATATTTTGGTGAACCAATGTTACTGTTGACATTGAAGTGTGGGACATTTCGCTTCTGCGGCAAAAAATGTCAGGTGTGTAATGGGGTCCCACAAAAAATACCTATGCTTTGTCTTGAGCTATGTTCATAGAGACATGGCAAGGGGGGGCCAGAAGACTGATGAAAGTTGTGCCGGTGATGGTCACAATTTGGGAGATGTTGCGGATGGCTATGTGATGGGGTGCTGTGACCCTTGATGGACAACTGTTTCACTGAGTCAAACTGTGGCAGTGTTTCTGCTATCTTGAGAGGCAGCATGGTAACGCATCAACACAGTGACAGATTTTACTTTAAACTCAAAATGGGGCACAGGAATAAAACAACTTGCTTGCCTCATCGAGGCACGTCTTCAAATGTGAACTAATATCTTGTCTTTTCAGTACCACCTTTTCTTTCTTTATTTTTTTTTCATATTTTTTTTTGTCTAGGCAAAAGAATCATGTTAAGGTCCGTTCACACTCTTGCAACCGAGTACAACCGAAAGAGACGAGACTGGTTTGTTAGCCTTTTCGGACCTCTTAGGACCGGATGCGCTGCAGTGGAGCTGGTCCTAAGACGAGACTTGTTAAAACCTCTTAAAATTTGTTGGGACGAGAGAACACGTTTTGTAATTTTCCAAGAAAAAACCGACCTGTGAAATACACCTTTGACGAAAAGTTTAGATTGCTACGTACAGGCGTTAATTTTTACGGTCCATTTTAGGTCAAGCCTGGCGGCTTGGACCACCCTTTATTTGTAAAAGGTTCATAAAAGTGTTCACTGCAAACGCATATCACCAATCTTAATAATTAATGAGTCATATTTTGACCAGTGGAAAAACCACATCTTTATTTTCACTCGATTTGGGTATGTTTACGATAAATAAATATTGAGCGAGTAAAATACAATTAAAAAATTGGGTTTGTAGAACAAGTAATAAATAATGGGCCAATTGGTTACGGACGCCAGCAATTGACTCCGTAAGTGTGACGTCATGAGTCCAAACAAACCGTTGCTAGGGTCGATGTTGACAAATACATGTGGCTAGGTTTCGCTACGAAAACCCGACTGTTCATAAATCAGGAGTAGGATTTAAACTTCTAAAATCACAGATATAGCAAGCTTGTATGTTTAAACAGAAGTGTGCAAATAATCGCTTGTTTGTGGAATAATTACAACTGCAACTTCCGGTCTTCAAGATGCCTGCAGCGGACTACGAATACAAGAAGTATGCCGTCTGCCACAAGCTGGCGCCATCATTGAATCGTGTGAATAAAGACTATATTCTGATATTGTATTTGTTTGAAATATAACGACTTTCAGACACTTATAAGAATTCATAGTGGGGTGCGATGCAAAATATGGTTTATTGAAAGTCCGGTCGTCGATCGAGATGATCGTCTGCTAAAAGATTGCATTGCACCTGCGAGAAAAGCACTTCAGGCAACCGGTTGAGATCCCAAATATTTTTTTTTTTTTTTGCGGACTCGCGCTATGTAAAAGTGCTTCATAGCTGGTTGTAACCGTCCCATGAAGAAAGGTTCTTGCAGTTTCTTCAGATTCCCGCAATACCCCAAAGCGTGAGAGAACTGGATAAAAACCATAAGGTGAGTACATGTAGCACTGGTGGAAAGTTGCCTCGATGTAAAAAAAGGGCCAAACCAACCAAGAGCATGTAAAACCCATCATCTGTTCGGTCATATTGTTTGAAAATATGGCGGTATATTTATATCTTATTACTATAATATTGATAAAGTAGTTGCATGCAAGTAGTAGTGAGAGTAAAATCCAGATCAAACTTTCAGTAGTCTTAAAGGCCTGTTCACACTCTTGCGACCGAGAGAGACCAGACCGGTTTTTAAGCCTCTTGCGATCTCTTAGGACCAGCTCCGCTGCAAAGCATCCGGTCCTAAGAGATCACAAGAGGCTTAAAAACCGGCCTGGTCTCTCGGTCTTCCTCGGTTGCAAGACTGTGAACGGAGCTTAAGGCCTGTTCACTCTTGCAACCGAGTACAACTGAGAAAGACGAGACTTGTTAAAACCTCTTAAAATTTCTTGGGACAAGAGAACATGCTGGCGCCATCTATGCGGCGAATTTGGAACTGCATTTAACAAGAGCGAAGGCTTTGTGGTATTTCCGAGGTCAAATGTGCGTAACACCTATAAGAAAGGCTCGTTTATAACGTTGACAAAAGTTTTTCAAGCCAAGAAAGAAGGGATAATGTGCGACAAATAGAAAATATGCCGGACCGCCAAGTTTACACTGCTACCCAATAGATGGCGCCAGTGTGTCATCTCGTAATAGGATTCAAGAAACCCAGTTTTAAGAAGTTGCAAGAGTGTGAACGGGCCTTAACAATGTTATGGTAAAACGGCGTTGAGATGTATGCCTGTGTCCATGCGCTATCCGGTTATTTTGTTTATGCTTGTATATCTACCTTTAATGATTTTTTTTTTCATTGTGCTCTTTATGTGTTCTTCTGTTTGGACTAGCTTTTTTAATTTAGTACAAGTCTCAATAAAAATAATAATAATAAACGACTTCCCTCGAAGGTGTAAGATTGCTGGCCTGCACTATGCCGGTAATGCACCTCGGGTCGTAGTCGTAACTGATTTGCATGACGTGGGTTGATTTTATGGCATTTTCGCCCCTCCGAACAAAGCTATATTCTTCACAATAAAAAAAAAAAAAAAAAAAAAAAAAAAAAAAAAGCACATCGCTGAAGCTTTTACGGTCATGATGATGCACTTGTTTTTGTCACTGGTTTACAGAAGCAATTCAATGAAGATGCCCGCTGCAACAGAGGTTGGCCAGCAAATGTATCGTGTCGTCTGCTACCAAATCAAAGCGGAGTGTAATACTTCAGAAATGGCTTTCCTCGTTGCAATACGACACAGAGACGAGGAGAACATCTTCATAATTAGATATCAAGAAGCTAGATTGCTTACAAAAAAACTATTGACTTACTTGTAAGCAAAAGTTTAGCCTCATGTGGAGTCTGCATGCATTAGTCTATAGCAACGCCCCTAGCAACGGTTTGTTTGAACCCAGACGACATGTTGTGACAGTTACCCCACAGACGCTGGAGGCCTTTCAAACGAAAAAAAAAAAAAAAAACGGTCGTTTTCACCAACTTGCAGCACGCTGAGGTCTCATCCAACGTGGAGCTGTTGCACTGAAGCTTCCTGATCGCCTTGCAAATGGATTAAAAGTATGCTGTGTCTAAAGGTACGTCAGACGTATCCGCAAGTTCGAGTCTAAAGATACGTCGGACATATTGTAAGCGCCCCAATTCCGTACAAGAAATTAGAGATCGGAGACATGCGATGTCTGCTCTCCATCAAGGCTGAGCGTCTGAAACGTCGCTTGTTTCCTTTCCCCTTTTCTTTGCTCGTTTTATCCACGCTTTTAGTTTTGTGCCCACCTTTACGTGCCGGCAGCACACCACCTTCTGGTCCCCAGCACTCGGTTTCGTCACCAGTTGGTAGATGGCGGCACACAACGGCACTTGCACTACCGCGCAGGCGCTTTAGAATATAGGCACAGGTAAGGCGTTGTGTGCTCTGTTTTTGTTTCGTCGCCGTTCGTTCGACTCCGTCGTCTGACTTGCAAGCGCACCTCGTTTTTGTTTTTGTTTACGTGGTTTAGCCCATATGTTCAGGCGTTCATAACTTTGCTGTCCACCATGAGTGCGAAGAGGACTTTGTACACAGTGAAGTTAGAGCGGACGGTGATCAGGTATGCGAAAGACAACGGTAACCACGGCACTGCACAGCGTCCGCGATACCGTGTGATACGGTGGAAAAGACAGCAGGTGTAGGTATTCAAGGGCGTCGCGATCCGTAAAAAGTGTTCAGGACGGCGCAACAATGCAAAAGTCGACATTTGGAAATTGAGAAGAACATTCGTGAGTTCGTTTGCAGCTAACTGAACGGGGCCACCGAGGACTCGTCGAGTCGTACTGAGAGCAACTGGTTGACCGTGGTGCGCAGTGAGAATTGACGGCGAGCAGGTTAATTCTCGTCAGGGTTATTTTTATTTGTTCTGTGACTTTTTTCTTGTGAATTTCCTATAATAAATTGATATTTCTTGCACAAATGTTGTAATTTCGGAGCATTTCACGAAAGTAAGCACCCCCCCCTCGTTGAACATCGCGGGTGTGAAACGAAAGGAGTGCATAGAATGAACTAATTACGGTAGCAATGAGAAATAAAGCTGGATTGAAAATTGACAGATGACCCGCTGTGATACGACCTTTCCCTACCGCGTCTACGTCCGACGCATCTCCCGGTTCCGCGCATGTCCGTCATGCATCTTGAAGGCCCATTCACACTCTTGCGACCTCTTAGAACCAAGTTCCTTGAAACCTCTTACGACGAGAAACCAAACTGGCGTCATCTATTGGGTAACGGTGTAAGCTTGGCGGTCCGGCATATTTTCTATTTCGCTCGCAGATTATCCTTTTTTTCTTGGCTGGAAAAACTTTTGTCAACGCTATAAACAAGCCTTTCTCTTAGGTATTACACACATTTTACCTCGGAAATCCCGGAAAACCTTCGCTATTGTGAAATGCAGTTCCAGGGACACCGCATAGATGGCGCCAGCGTGTTCTCTCGTCCTAAGAAATTTTAAGAGATCTCGTCTCTCTCGGTCGTACTCGGTTGCAAGACTGTGAAAGGGCCTTAAGGCTCCAGGGTCCGGATACGTCCGATGCACCTTTAGGCTCCTTGTTCCGGATACGCCCGACGTACTTTTAGAGTCCTCGTTCCGGATACGTCCAATGTACCTTTAGACTCCTCGTTCCGGGTACGTCCGACACGTAGCTTTAGACACAGCGTTAAAAGTATTGCTACGTCTCACGCGTCAATCAGGTTGAAAACACGGTAGGTACCGGGAACCTGAGCACCGGTATTAACGTGTCGGAACGCTTAAACGCCTGTCACCCGTCGTACCTAAGTAACTGAAAAAGAACAGTGATCATATCCAACTCGTCTGCGTCCTAATAGGCGCCCAACTCGGTTAGAAAATCTCGGCGCACCTCCCGCACTTGGTAGCTACGACCGGATAGTAGCTCAATATCGTAACGTGATAAGCGAAGCAATTTCACGTAGCCGAATTGAGGTAAGAGATATTTTATCTTCAGTTTTAATTTAACGTTTCGAATAACCATGTTCCTCGCACAAGCTCCGAGGCCTGTACGCGTGGAATGCCCAATTCGGCTTCTTGAAACTAGTAGTTCCATACGACGGTGTAGATGTTCTTTTACAACGCCAACACACATGTAGATGTTACATGCTTACTGCATTCGCGGGACACGGGTCTACTTACCCATCTCTGAGGGCTGTAGGTGCGACGACGAAGATAACAGCGGGGAAAGGCGTCATCAAGACTTAGAACGCAAGGAAAAAATTTACGGTGAACCGTTAAACATGGCGCCGGGACGTTTGTAAACATACTCTCGTTACCGTGCGACGGTTCCCCGGTTTCGAAACAAAAATTCGTTTAGCATAGTTAAAATTATTTTAGCAACGTAGATAGCTTGATCATTTGAGTATATATATTGCCATTTTTTCTTGAAGTTAAATTGAGAGCTTAATGACTTCGCAATGAAGCACACTCTTATACTCTCGCAGATCAGCATAGGTTTGCTTCACCGAAAGACACCGCTGTATTGCAGGGAAAGGTGCTCGCTGGCATTTGCACAGGTGAAAATGTCCTGTCCAAACACCCCTTCCGACAATACAGTAAATATGCACTCTTAAGGTACTGGTTGTGGGGGTGGCTTGTCTGTGGCCAGAAAGGCACACAGGGTCAGTTGAAAATGATTACCATGGGATAAAAATAATGGAAAGCAGCCTCAGACACAAGGATGAAGTAAAGGCACTAACACGACAAAACAACGGATGACCTTCAAGTGTAGTTTATTTTATGAGAAGGAAGCATTTTAGTCTTATTACATTAACACAAACACACATGCCAACCAGGCAGCTGGCAATCACAGGGATAGAGCCTTACAATGTGGCAGTGCTAAACTCCAATTTATGAATAAAGATTTTTTTTTTTTTTTTTTTTCACTTAGTTTTGTAGCAGAGGTTGTTTTCCATCATGATTAGTTTCGCTCTTACCAACTAGCCCAATCTACCACCCTACTTCAGCTCATTATGGGGGACTACTTGCACTTGAAGAATCTGCAATGGCAAGATGAATGCTAGCAAGTTCATTTCATCGCCAGAAAATTGATGGTGTTGTCTCAAATGGTAACAATGCACGCTCATGAATGAACTGTGTGAG